CTATAACAGGTTAGAAATCACTGAGAAGACATTTAATTCTTCTGAAGTGTACTTATAGAGCCTTTTTCTTTTTCATAGTCCTCTGGACATGTTAAGGAGGCACAGGCAGGAAGGCACAAACAATATTTCTTCCTTGCTTCTACCTCCAATTAAAAGATGTCTAGGCTGGGCGTGATGGCTCATGCCTACAATCCCAGCACTTTGGGAGGCTGTGGCAGGAGGATTGCTAGAGGCCTTGAGTTCGAGACCAGCCTGGGTAACACGGAGACACCCCTGTCTCTACAAAAACAACAAAAAAAAGCCAGGCATGGTGGCACACCTGTAGTCTAGCTACTTAGGAGGCTGAGACAGGAGGATCATTTGAGCTCATGAGTTCAAGGCCCCCTGTCATAACAAGAGGCTCTGGTAATGGTCTGGAGTCTTGTTTTATAGAGTCTGGATTAGGCCCTGCTCATGGTTCAGGTGTCACCACTGAACCACTTTGATGGACAGTTAACCACAGGATAATTAGCCTTAAGTTACTCTAGGTCTCTTCTCAGATACTACTGTACCTGGGCTGCTGGGGGCCCAGGGTTGGGGAATTCCTGTATTGTTTCACAGTGAGCTATGATAATGCCACTGCACTCCACCCTGTGTGCCAGAGTGAGACCTTGTCCCTAAAAGAAAGAAAAGAAAAGAAAAAAAGATGTCCAATATTTGTGAATACTGCTACGTGTGCTCTGTGCTCTGTGACTGTAGACAATGTGTGGACCAAGCGTAACTTGCAAAGGCCAAGACTAGTCTGGTGTAGAGAAAACTGTAGTACCAGCCAAGGCAAATATTTTATGATTTGGAACCAAATGAAGCTTAAAGTTCATATCCTCGGATATCATGAGTCCTCAATTAGACCATTGTTAATGAAAGTTTGGCACTTGTCCCCAAGGCCACATAAGAACAAGGACAAGTGATTTGAGGAGGAGGAAAGAGGAGTTTATTAATTTGCCAGCAAATGAGGAGGTTGGCAGACTCCCATCTCAAAGTACCAATGTCCTGCTTCTGAACAGAAGTACAGAGCTTTTAAAGGTTCTGATCAATCCCATCTTTAGCTAAGATGATCTGGTGACCTCTATCCAGACAATCCCCTTGAGATATCTCCTGTGGCACAAAGACCAAAGACACCCTTCTGCCCCTCGTGACCACTGGCCTGAGGTAGGGATGTAGGTTTTAGTTCTCGCAAAGGGTGAGGGGGTTTTGAAGAGACTGAAAACATTTTTACCCCTTTTCAGGCCATATTTTCTGTTACACCATCACAGTCCAAGATTAAGCAATATGTGACCAATAAGCCAGGCCTGTTCCCTCTATTTCACTTCCTGCTTTTCTTGGCTGAAGAATAATCAGATACACCAAAAGCAAGTCAAGTGTGAAACAAAGTTTACTGAGGAAGGGCAAGATAGGTTTACAGAGCAAGAGCAAGATACATTCGCCACAGATTGCAAACGGGCCCCCTGTCATAACAAGAGGCTCTGGTAATGGTCTGGAGTCTTGTTTTATAGAGTCTGGATTAGGCCCTGCTCATGGCTTAAAAATATTTTCCAAATTTTTCATTTTTATAATTAGCTTTTGTCCCCTTTTCTAGTAGTGCTGAGACTTGTCCTATTTGTCTTCCTTAAGACTGCCATTGGCCGGGCACAGTGGCTCACGCCTGTAATCCTAGCACTCTGGGAGGCCAAGGCGGGAGGAT